CTTCTGGTCACCAAAAGAACACCATAAAGACAGCCGAAACACAAGCCACAAGATGAGGAAAGATGTTTGCTGTACATAACTGACCAAGGTTTGAAATCCAGAATATATAAAGAGGTCCTACAAGTCAATAATAAAAAGAGAGATTGGGAATGCAAACAGGTGCAGCCACTCTGGAAAACAATATGGAGGTTCCTCAAAAAATTAAAAATAGAAGTACCCTGCGACCCAGCAATTGCAGTAGTAGGCATTTATCCAAGGGATACAGGTGTGCCGTTTCGAAGGGACACATGCCCCCCCATGTTTATAGCAGCACTATCAACAATAGCTGAAGTGTGGAAAGAGCCCAAATGTCCATCGATGGATGAATGGATAAAGATGTGGGATATATATACAATGGAGTATTACTCGGCCATCAGAAAGAATGAAATCTTGCCATTTGCAACTACGCGGATGGAACTGGAGGGTATTATGCTAAGCGAAATTAGTCAGAGAAAGACACATATCCTAGCACTTCACTCGTATGAGGACTTATGGAGAACAAACTGAGGGTTGCTGGAGGGGTTGTGGGAGGGGCAGATGGGCTAAACGGGTAAGGGGCACTAAAGAATCTACTGAAATCATTGTTGTACTAGATGCTAACTAACTTGGATGTAAATTAAAAAAATAAATTAAATTAAAATTAAAACTAATAATAATAATAATAGTAATAAAAAGAGAGATAATCTATCTTCCTCACCAAAGAAAGATTTCAGCAGGCACTTCACAAAAAAGAAATGCCGATGTCCAACACACATATTAAAAGGTGTTCGAACTCATAAATAAAGAAGATGTAAATTAAAATCGCAAAGCAATACTGTCACATCTACCAGCACACTACCAGACTGGCTACTATCTTAAAATCTGACAATACCTGCTGGCCGATAAAATGTGGGGCAAAGGTGGGAATACACACTGATGCAACCACTTTGGAAACCTGGCAGTTATCTCCTAAAGCAGAAGACAAGCATGTCTCATCACTTAGGAGTTCTTGCCGGGCTGTACGTCTTACAGAGATGTGTACTAATTTGCACCCGTCTACATATATTAGATTGTTTACGGCAAAGTCGTTCATAAGAGTGAGAAAACCTGGGGCACCTGGGTGGCTGGGTCGGTTGAGCGTCCGACTTCGGCTCAGGTCATGATCTCGCGGTTCGTGGGTTCGAGCCCCGCGTCGGGCTCTGTGCTGACAGCTCGGAACCTGGAGCCTGCTTTGGATTGTCTCCCTCCCTCCCCCCTCCCCTCCATTTGTGCTCTGTCTCTGTCTCTCTCTCTCTAAAATAAAAAGTAAGAACACTTGAAGTACTCTAACAGTGGATGGATAAGATGTCAGTACGGTATATTCAAACAGCACACTGTTATAAAATCAACAAACTCAAAACGACATGCAAAACCACAAAGTGACATATCCTATATGATTTCCCACATCTCAAGTTCAGAAACAACAAAATTAACTTGTTCTATTTGGAAGCAGATACTTAGGTGCTAAGACCGGAAACAAAATGAAGGATGTAATGAACATAAACATCGGAAGGTGGCCACCGCATGGCAGGGAGGGAGTGGTGGTCAGGAGGGTAGGGAGGACACGCATCTGGGATGACCTCAGTCATGGCCACATGGGCATTTACTTCATAAACACTCTTTGGGTTTTTCATACACGTTTTATCCAATTATCTGCAAGTGCTATATTTCATAACAAAAGAAGTTTTCAAGAAAGTTGGAAAAAGATTAAAGGAGAAAAGGCATCTCAACAGGTATAAAAGAAGCATTATATAAAATGCAGACCTCATTGAGGATTTTTTAAAAAACTCTTAGTAAGTTTATTCTATATAATAAATCACCTGTACCCTTCAAAACTGTCAAGAGTATCAGGAGAGGCGAAGAAAGGCTGAGAAACCGTTAGAGATTGAATGAGCCTGAAGGAAACATGACAATCAAATACAATACACGATGCTGGGTTGGATTCTAGACCTGAAAACCAACCAAACAGACAAAAACCCTGATTTAAAGGACACTCTTAGGACCACTAGAAAATTTGATTAAAATCTAGGTATTAGGTAACAGTATTGTATCAAAGTTGAATTTCCTGAGTTGGATCACTATTCTGTGATTATATACGTGAACAGTGAATGTCCTTGTTAGAAAAAAAGCACACGGAAGTCATTAAAGAGAAAGCAACATGATGGGCACATTTACTCTCAAATGGCTTTGAAAAACCGTGAAAATAAAGACAGACTGAATGTTAAAACAAACTTGATGAATCTGAGTAAAAAACAGACAGGAATTCTTTATATTACTCTTAAAACTTTTCTGTAAGTCTGAAATTATTTTTATTTTTATATTTTTTAACATTTTTTTAATATTTATTTTTGAGAGAGAGAGAGTGAGCGTGACGAGGGGAAGGGCAGAGAGAGGAGACACAGAATCGGAAGCAGGTTCCAGGCTCTGAGCTGTCAGCACAGAGCCCAAGATGGGTCTTGAACCCACAATCCGTGAGATCATGACCTGAGCTGAAGTCGGACGCTTATCCGACTGAGCCACCAAGGTGCCCCTGAAATTATTTTTAGAAGTTTAAAAACAGGAGCACCTGATGGGCTCGGTCAGTAGAGCATGAGACCCTTCATCTCAGGATTGTGAGTTCGAGCCCCATGTTAAGTGCAGAGATTCTTATAAAACTTTTAAAAAATTGGTTTTCATTTAAGAAAAAAGTTGAAACATAATCTCTTAGCAAATAAGAAATACACATTTTCTTTTTTTCTTTTAACGTTTATTTATTTTTGAGAGAGCGAGAGAGAGAGACTGGGTGCGAGCGGGAAAGGGGCAGAGAGACAGGGAGACACAGCATCCAAAGCAGGCTCCAGGCTCCGAGCTGTCAGCACAGAGCCCGACGCGGGGCTCGAACTCACGAACTGTGAGATCATGACCTGAGCCGAAGTCAGATGCATAACTGACCAAGCCACCCAGGCGCCCCAGAAATATACATTTTCTTAAGCTGATAAGATGTAGCTACTAAAAATATAAAACAAGATAGGAAAGGAAGAAATAAAATTATCATTTTTCACAGACAACATCATTGTAGTATGTAGAAAACCCAAAGAACCCCCAGGGAAGTTACTGAAATTAGTAAGTAAACGTAGCATAATCAATGGAGACAAAATCAAAGTATAAAAATGAATTCCATTTTCATATTATCAACAACCATTAGAATATAAAAATTTTAAGAAATGATACAATTTATATTCACATAAAAGATCAAATACCTAAAACTAAATGGAAACGATACAGATCTCTACAACAACGGAAAACCATGTATCATAGTTTTAGTTATTTATGTGTATATACACACAGAAATTTAAGAAAATCTTCAAAAAAATGGAAGGATCAGAAAACTAAATATAGTGCAAAGGTGTCAATTCTTTACAAATTGATTTATAGATGCAACACAATTCCAATGAAAATCCCAGCGGGTTTTTTTCTAGAAGTTGATGAACTGGTGCTAAAATGCATTTGGAAATGCAAAAAGTCCAGAACAGCCAAGACCATTTTAAGAACAAAGTGGGAGGACTTTCTTTACTTTATACCAAGATTGTGATGATAAAAATTGCAGAAATGAAGACAGTGGGGTCCCAGTGCAATGACAGACAAATAGACCAAAGGGAGCAGACTAGAAAGTCCAGGTATGAACACTTGATTTAAGACAAAGGTGGCAAAGCAAAGCATAGATAAAAGGCAGTATTTTCAATAAACGGCACTGGGTCAATTGGATACCATATGGAAGGAAATGAAACTTGACGCCTACCTCACATAATACACAAAGAAAGCAATTCCAGGTGGACTGCAGTTCCAAACGTGAAAGGTAAAACAATAAAACATCAAGAAGACAATATATAAGGAAATATCTTGATGGCCTTGGGGGAGGAGAACGTTTCTTATACGTGACAAGAAAGCCCCGAGCATAAAAGAAAAAGTTTCAAAATCGTGAACTACATTTAAATTAAGAAGTGCTCATCAAAAGACATCATTCAGAGTCCCATCATTTCTCTATCTGTAAAATTGGGATAATAATCGGACTCACTCAGCAGCAATTGCTGTGAACCTTCCACGATTTAATAGACAGAGAGGCACAGAATGTAATTTTTTTAAAGAGGCAACGGAAAGTAAAGAGACTCAACGAGTACCATCCAGCCTTCCCAGAACGGTGTACTTAAAGGCAGGTATGAGGCAAGGCCACAGGTAGACAAGTCCAGAGGACTGTTCGGAATGAGAAACACACAACGGCTCGTGAGTGGAAGGAAAGGGTGTGTGTCACAGGCGAGAAGGAGGATGCTGAAGACAGCAGGTGTATGTGATGGAGGAAGGGAGACAAGAAGAGAGCTGCCTCCTCCTGGCCACTCGCCCCCAAGACAGGAGGGAAGAATGCCCTCAGACTCAGGTTTGGGCAGATTGTAAGGTGAAAAGAGGTGCCTTAGTTTCTTACTTCTTTAGGAAATAACAGTCAAGGTCATCTGTCAAAGAGGCGTGGTCTGAGGCTGGAGAAGAGTCCCGCCAGCACCCCAAGGAGTGACATCACATTGGGACAATCTGCAGGAAAGTTCCGGTCAAAAATCAAAACAAGAGAGCCATGCTCCCAACGGATGCTCCTCAATTATGGGGGCGCATTTTACTTTTCTGCGAATTGCACAGATGGAAAGAAAGCCGGTCAGCAATCCTATCTAAACACCATTAAATTGCGTCACCATTTTATTCCTGGCTTGTACCAAGTGATCAGCAAAACGGTCACAAGAGTAACAGAAAAATCTAATCAAATGGCACCATTCAGACAGGATCCCGGCACCCTGGGAACAGCCCGCGTTCCACCTCATCCACGAGAGTCCTCAGAGCTGTCACAGAGAAACGGCCACTGCTGTCAGCTCAAACCAGACCCAACAGAGGGCTGCGAGCGTGGGAAGGACTGGCGAGCTCACCGGTTGAAGACGTTCTCACTGAAAGCATACTTTTCCAGGCGAGCGAGGGGAGGCAGGTTACCCTGGCCTGGAATGTCCAGAAAGGCCGTTAGCCTCATGCTGTCACGATCCGGGCCGTAGTCTTCAAATCCATCTAAAGGGGAAGAGGGGACAAAGCCATACTCATCAGGTCACACCTGAGCAAAAGCAGGTCCTTGCAGCAAACCTTCTACCTCCACACCCTTTCCCGTGGGAGTCTTGAGAACTTGACCGACTCCTCTAAAATGAAGTGGGTAGGTTATAACGCAAGAGAAGGGTGACCGGACCAGAGTCATAAAGAAAAGCTAAGTGCCTTTCTTTCAGTGCTGTCGACCTGACTTGTGAGTCACCTCTCATCAACACGATGGTAACCTCTCCTCTACCGGGGAACTCAGAAGTGAGGGAACGAAGCAGCTGGCCGAGCCCTGGCAGAAATGTCCGTGGAGTGCTATGCAAACAAGTGTCAAATGGTCAAAAGAAAAACATATGGG